ATTTCAATAAAGCTGGACTTCCCAAGTGCCTGCTGTAGAAATCTGGCATCTGTATTTGTTTGAGCTGATGATAAATATAGGAGAGGATTAGTTTTTATTTTTCGCCTGCTCAAAAGATGCTTATTTGCAAGGTGGTAGTAGTATTCTTTCTGACATGGGCGCGGTCAGAGAAATGAACACCTCATCTTTTACATGGCCAATTTGTATCAGAGGCCCAAGAAACTGATTTTTACCAAAATCGCCTCGAGTGCTTAAAAATCTTTGTGAATAGCCACGATCTACATTTTGTCACTTGTCTGTAAGTTAGTTCCTAAATTGTCCCTTTCTTTTCAATTTTCAATTTTATGAATTGGCTTTAATAGTAGACGGGGCCTTTATCTGGGAATATAAGGAAATAATATGTATTTAAATTTCAGATGTATAAATTTGGTAGGTGCAAAGGGGCAGGAAATCTAATATATTTAACAATAAATTCCTCAGAGGAAATTGTCAGCTTATCTATTGACATGAGAACCCGCAAGGTCTAGCAGCTGGAAGAAGGACTGGCAACAGAAAACAGCTGAGCAGTCAAATACTGTTTTAGTAACTCATAATTTGGAGGAAATTTTGAGAGATTTGATAGAAATGTTCCATTTGAAATGAAATGAAACAGGGTGGGTGATTTAAAGAATAAATAAGGGAGAGTGGTTAAGTATGGAGTTAAAGCACGGAAGATTTGAGGGAGGGGACTGGGAGGGGAGGTGCTATGTGGGGAAGACCTGATTGCACAGGTGAAGGCTCCCTCTGAGTTCAAATCAGCAAAAGTGGTTGAAGTTGGGAAAGACGTCCTGGTTTATTTTTTTCCATTTAAAGAGAAGAAGCAGGAAAACCTAGCCAGAGAGAAGGTAGAGTTCTGCATCAGTGCAAAGCAGGATGGCCAAAAAGGGACCGATTCCAAGACAGTCCAGCAGACTTATTAGGAGATAACTTGTTTCATATTTAAGAAAACACTTTTTCACTTCTGCACATTAAAAAGCTGATTGCAACTGATCTGAGGACATTTCTTTTTCCTTTGTGTAAAGCACCTCCTGATGGTATGTATATAGTGGCTAAATGATCTGTTGCTGAGGTTCTGTGTTGACGTAGCTGGGTCAATGAAGGTCAAAGGGCTGCTTGGGCAGAACACAAATACTAGAAATGTGTCACGGTATTAACAAATCATCAGGAAAAGTGTGGTTGCAGTGCTGGAATGTATCGTCTAAAACAACTGCATGCGCTGCAGAGGCAAGCCTGGTTTTGTAGCAAGAGCTCAGGACCAAGAAAGTGGGATTTGCCTTGGTTTTCTACTGAGCTGCTGCATTGACTTGAAGTCATTCAGTTTCCGTTTGCCTCGGTTTCCGCAGCTGTACCAAAAGCCCAACACCCAACCTCACCAGGGTGTTGTGTGTCCTACTCTGTATTCTTTCTCCTGTGGAAGTTGAAGTTGCTTGCAGGTACAATGGAAACAATGGGGGAGAGAGTAATCTTCAGAACTTTTAAAATCTGGTATTAAGGCCAGCTGTGGAGGAAGAAGATTAAAGGAATGAAGCAAAGGGAAATAGTGCCTGCAGAGAGGTTTCTGCGAGCAGATAAAGGAAAGGAGCAGCAGTTAGAGCTGAGAGGGGCAAGTGGAGGGGTAGGCAGGAGAGGAGTGAACATAGATGCGGAAGAGGTGATGACCCTCTTGACTATTATCTCCTGTGTTATCAGCTAACTGCAGCTGAAGGAACACGAAGAAATAATTTTTAAGCACGTGCCTTTGTCTGCTGTTGCTGGTGATACCAAGATTCGTCGCTCAGCTTTTGCAGCTGAATGAAGGCAAGCCTGGTGGTGGCACATCTGCAGGCCGGTTAGACCTCCGGTGGGCACTGGGCAGAGGTGAGACCCTGCAGCTGCCTTCTCTTAACTGGTATCTGTGTCCCTGCAGACAGCTGTTGGTGTGCATCGGCTGTGACAGTTCTCTGTCAGAAGTGATTACTGTGAAGTTGCAACAAACTACCGCAGCTGCTTCAGAGGAAACTCGCTGAGAACTAAGCGTTAAAGAGTAACAGGGGAGCTTTGGGGATACTTAGGGGAATGGTGATGACAAGTAACACTGAGGTCAACAGATCAGTAGGTGGTTTTAAAATGACTTTGAGGTATATGTCATGTTATGGAGAGGAGAATTTTAAGGTGTATATCATCTCTCCTCCTCCCCTCTTAACAAACTGCCTTGGTCCTACCATCTTTTACCACTTTCCTCCCTGTATTTTTGCAATATGTCACTTTCCATGTTTTAGGTGCTGAGGAAACAGCAAGTGCTCATTGGGGACCTTTAAGATGAATGCTCACTGTAATATTTTCCCATATTGTTCTGTCTTTAATACAGCCTAACATCTTATTCGCTTTCTTGACTGCAACCACTCATTGAACAGATGTCTTCACCGAGCTGCCTGCGGTGATGCCTAGATCGTCCCCCTGAAAGATCACAACTAACTCAGAGTCCACCAGAGCATGTATGAATGGGTTAAAGCCTTTCCAGTATTTGTTGCCTCAGGTTTATTTTCCGTTGACATTCACTTGCCACTGAACTTGCCGAGTGAGTTCACTCACCCTGGCAGTCGCTGCCTTCCCTAGTGCCGGCAAACCTAATCGCTTTCTCTCGGCACTGGCTTTTGCCAGACGATGCACCAAAGTCTTCAGTTCCACGTGTGTAACTCGCTGAGTAGCATGGCATGCTCTTGCTAACTTTTACTCAACCTGACCTTTTCTGTTGTTTCTTGTCTCCTAGCTTCTGTGTTGACTTTTCTTTCTAGCTCAGTTATAGCACTGAAGCCATCGAGTTTTAACTGTCTGCTTTATTTCAAGTAATTTGCCTACAGAAAACTGTTAGTTACAATGTTGTCATAAGCTTCCTTTTTAATTAAAAAGAATCACTTATTCTGTATCTCTTTCAGAGTATGTACAACCATAACAAAATGATTCAAACCATAAAAACAGGCTGATACGTGAGGACAAATGCACTGAGAAACAGGTCTCCTGGACCTTAACTTCATTGGTTTCAGGGGAGTAATTTCTGTCACTTAAGATCAGTTTCATTAAACCTTGAGATCTTCCTTGAAGTCAAGATTACAACAGCCAGTGAACAAGTCCTGTAGCAAACTTGTTTTAAATTCCTGGGTTACTCTGCTCTTTGTGGTGGAGAAGCAGTGGACGTATGCCTTGGTCTCTGGCCAGCACCCAGCTGAGCTCAGCCACGCTTAGTGTAACCTACCGGCTGGAGTGTTTAACTGGACACTGAAATTCGGTGATGATACTTGAGATGAGGGTGAGTGCAGTGATGCTCAAGTCTTTGTGGTTTCTCTCTTCACATTCTCCTCTTTGCTTTAAAGCTTGTACATCTGTAAATAAGGCCAAGTCTGTAAGCACTGACTATGTTTACCAGTTCATGCTGCATCGATAAACACGAAGGAGGTGGCAGGAGGAGGCAGAAGGGACTCAGGCCCAGGGGGATGTGCAGTCTCTGCTGACTCGGTACGCATTAGGTGTTGTGTTACAGCAGTTACTCGTGTTGGCAAAAGCAGCTGCTGGGGATTTATAAAGTTGGCAAAATTGAAGCTGAGGAGTTCTGTTAATTTGTGGAGCTCGGAGGGGATCAGGGCAGGTACAGCAATGCCTGGTGGCTATCAGAGCGTAGAACTGTTGTACCCTCCCACATGTGTAAGACTCCTCTCTGCTTCTATGCTCACCAAAGTCCTGTTCTGCCACTGTAAATCCTTCCTGTGTTATTTCCGACCACCCAGTAACCTCCTGGACTGACCAGTTCTCTGTCTGTGTCTTCAATCAGGGAATTAGTTAAGAGGCAAAGTGGCACAAGGGTGTTTTCTTGATAACTGCCTCCAGTTTTTCTCTGCACCTCAAAGCCCAACGAAGACTCTTTATTTGACCTTTTTTCACCCTGGAGTATTCCCTTCTCCTTTTGTTTTCCTACATTATTACCACATGAAGGATTTCTAGCCAGGCACCTGAGATATTCACTGCTTATTTAGAAATCAGCTCTTACAAGCAAGAACTCTGGAGCCTTGCTCATGCTGGATTTCTTCAGCTGGGGCTCTGCTGTCACAAACGTGTCTCTGTGTTGCAAAATTGCTTAGTGAGTCGATGGGATCTCCTTGAAGAATTTAAACCTGGAAATTCAAAGGCTACGTGATTTCCACAAAATACAGCGAACCACAGGCAGCAGCGCTGCTCACAGCATGTTCAGCTGTGAAGAGGAGGAGGGTTGTTGCATGGCTGGTAACATGCTAGCTCAAGTGAAACCATCTTACCTGCACAGCAGGGCCTAGCTTAAAGCTTTTTTATATAATGTTTATAGTCATAATTTAAGTTTAAAAAATGAACTATATTTTTTTTCTGTCTGTAGATGTTTTTTGACCTGGTTTATCTGATATGGCTTTAGCATATGACAACTTTTACCTGTGCAGCGCACACACCTCTCAGTGTCCTTTTGTCCCATGTTATCGAATAATGGTATCAAACTCTGTAAAGCATTTTGGTGATGTTTCCTGTGAAGAGAGCTGGAGAAAATAAATTTGTTTTAATGGCACCAAGTGGATTTATAGCTCTGAGTTTGTCTTGCTTTTGTCACATTCCCCTCTCTCCCCCATGGCTCTGAGCGGTTACTGGGAGGGATGGCAGTGCTGTGTTCCAGCCGCAGCATGGAGGAGCTGCTTCTGTGGCTGCTCCCCCCAGCTCAGAGCAGGTACTGCTCAGAGCCCACCTTGCTAGATCCCCGGGGGCTTGGTCTGTGTCTGATTTCAGCCACCCTTTCCTGCCCTGTTCACAGGAGAGAGAGAGAGAGAGAGAGAGAGAGAGAGAGCGAGAGCACGTGTGTCTGTGTGTGTGCGCTTCAGGGAACGGATTCTTATGTGTGGAGTGAGAATAGCAGTGCTGCCTTTCCACTGGGGAGATGATACTAATCTCAGGACAAATTAGAAGTGAAACTCAATGCTTTTAATTTTTGTAGTGAGAATATAAATAAGGATTTTAAAATGTACAAATTAAAAAAGCAAGCACGGAATTTGCTCAGTGCATTCTGGATCGCTTGACTCTGCTCATTTCTCCCAGTGCTTTTCTCTTCTGGGATGATCCAGTTCCGAGGTCTGTGTTATTCGAAAGGTAGGACTCGGCTTCTGGCAGGCAGTACGACTCCATGGGGGGAGGTGGGTCCTTCAATAGAGAAAGAAGAGGAAAAAAAAGCGGTTTAGTTCAAGAAGCTTCTGAGAATAAATAAATAGCTCCTTAGTTCTCTAAAACTGAGAACAACGAAGTGAACATTGCACGCCTACATACCTCCCTGCCCTGCAACATGTGCCGCTGCTGGCACCAGAACAAGTTGCATTACAGCAGTTAAAATTAGAGGAAATTTTGAGAAATTTGATGGAAATGCTCAAAATTTCTGGCCTAAGGAGGTACCCGATTGGCAGAGCAGCTGTGCTGTTTGGAAGTTTTGAGGGGCTGGAGGTGCGAAGTGGGTGAGGAGGAGCCCGGAGCACACACCTGGATGAGGTAGTCAGCAATGAACTCGGGTCTCAGGCAGTTCACCCCTTGGGCTGCTGCCTCTGCTACACCAACCCTGGCGTCCTCCGGCTTCAGCTTGCTGAAGTCAGCGAAGAGATGTGTCGCTTCTTTAAAGAGAGATGCAGAGTGACCGGAAAACACCTGCAGATTTAAAACGTGATGGAGAAAAATGAGTTTGTTTTCATGTTTCTTCCCCCAAGGCAAATGCAGTGCATGACCTATAATTTTGCTTCATCCAATTAGCTATTAAAAATCCCCTTTACAGCTGCATTCTGTATCACCACGTACCATCCAAGGAGGGTGACCCTTCTCATTGGCGCAGGGCACAGACATCCTATCCTCAGTTCCCACCAGCACAACTGACTTGTGCAGTCTTGAATAAGCTGCTCTGCCTGCCCACTTGTAAAATGAATATTCATAGAACTTTTTCCTCCCACCCTTTGACCACATCTCAGCTATCTTGTGTAAGCAATTTTGTTGGTTAAGATTTTACTTGCACGGAAAATGCCCAGCACAGAGTTTAATAGGAAAAAGAAAATACATACTTTTGCTCCTCCTGACTGAAGAAGGCGCCTGAATCCTGCTGCTTTGGTCTGATCGACATTCAGGATCACTTTCCAGCCACTGAAAGCTCCCTAGATAAAAGACTCGATTTAGTCAAAAGTTACGTTGGCACTAGAAGAGTACAAAACCTTAATGGATCTATAATTTGCTCCTTTCATGACTATCCCTCGGATAAAGACTTGCTATCCCCTAGTTTTAAGTGTACCTTTTTGTACATCAGTGGACACATCCCAGATCTGTGAAACACGAACAGCGGCTCAGGGGGAGATGAAGACTTTTAATATAGCAGCACTAGAAGTCTTTTTAAAAACAAAACTACTTAACCAGAATGTATCCAGCTGAACTTTGTTGGTTGTAACGAGGCAGATTACCTTTCCCCACCAGTTAAGTTTCTGAGTTTCTCTGTGACAATCCCTGTCCTGTCTACCCACACTGCACAACTTATTGTAACCGTACCTCCACAACGCCAGTTTCTTGCCTCCCTTTATGAATTTTTTTCCTCCACCTCATGGCTGCAAGCGCTAGTTTCTTCTGGTTCACATTAATTCCAGGCAAAACATTAAGTATAGAATTGCTTCCCCACTCGTAATCTTCTTCCTAGAACAGTCATAAGCTTCAATGATAAGGCAGTCCTGCCAACTTTACCAGCAGAAACATAAATTTAAAAAAAACCACACCAAAAAGATAAGCAAACCACCCCAGAACCAATCCCAACTCACTCTAGCTTAATATATCGAGTTTATCTGACCTAGACAGCTCTAGGTAACATGTAACATGGAATTCCCCAGCAGGACAGACTAACTCACTGCTCTGGGACACCATTGGCGCTACAATCATACGGCGTCTTCCAAAACTATCAAAGTTGGTTCTGACACATAAAGATACAAACAACTTTATAGGCGTTATTTTAAAGTTAGCCTGCTTGACATAGAAGAGCTGCTAGACCCAGGAGAACTATGAAGTTACAGTTAAGGAGGTGAGCACTTGGAAGAGAGCGTGTTCAAAAAAATGTTTATGCACATGGTTATGGAGTTGGATTATTTAAAACTAATGTACGTTCATGTATTGAAAGAATCAAGATTTAATTCCTGGTGTGACAAGATCCACATAAATTTAGCTGGTGACACTGAGAATTTATGGAAACATCCTTAAGCTTCAGTGTTCTGAAGCAACTATAAAAAAGTACAGGTATTTCATTTATCCTACACTAGGAGTTTGGTCCAGGACTAGTCTGCAGAGAAAAGCAGGTGAAATTTCTCAGACTGGATCCTCCAAAACTCCCAAGTCTCGGGCACTGTCAGCTGCCAACTGGTTTTGAGAGGTGAAGCCCTTCCCTAGCAGTGCAAAATGAAGAGCAACGTGAGAGGGCCCGACAGGTTGATTTCTCGGCAATGAGGTGACGTGCCTGAACGAAGCAGCCGGCTCCTCTGCATGCCTCCAGGTAGGAACGATGCAGCACCCACTTCCCAGCTGCCATCGAAGCCAAGAATTTTTCATTGCGAAGGGGATGTCCCACAACAATGTGTGTGCAACTCGGATCGAAGCACTGTTTCTCTAGTACTACTCCACCTTGAATTGAGGAATGAATTTGATTTGAATTATTTAAGAGTCATACAGAAAAGATCAACTCAGAGAGAATTATTTGACTTTCAGATGAAAATATACTTAAATCTACGTGGAAAGCGTTATCACTGAAGTGACAGGGGCAGCAGCTGGCAAAGAAAGAGAAGCAGCCAGGAAAGAGCGTCCCTGATAAAAATCAAGTGCCACTGTAATGCAGACAGGGACGAGAGACACCAGAGGCAGCGGCAGTTCCTGGGCGCTCCCAGCAGTAAAGAATGAGGCTGTTGTGGAGACAGCTAACGGAAAACTGCTAGAAGACAAAACCGTTGCTGTTTTATGGCAAAGCCGATCGCTCACATCATAGTAATAAATTCAAGGAATTATGAGCACAGAAAGCTGTAAATTTGAGCCCTCAAATCTGATGAGGGACTAACAGAAGCCCTTTCTTTTCCCCAGCGAGCCACAGCTGACCAGACCCACACACTATTCTTTGCCCTTCACAAATCTCTGGTACCTAATTCCTCAATCAGGTGGCAGTAATCAAATCTTTCTTGAGGATTAAGGGAAGACAGCTGGAATTTGCGGTGGTTTTCTGGTTCTTCAGCAGCCTTCTCATCTTCTGTAACAGCCTGGAAACACAGTAACAGATTTTGAAAACATGACAGAAAGATTAGGTTGACAGCTGACTATTCCTCTGATAAGCATTCTGAGTTATTTTTATATTAAGTTTTGCTTTAGCCAGGAAAAGCAGAACCAAACCTGTCAATCACTTGACAAAAAAGCTTGGATCTCACCAAATCAACATTAGGTTCCCCTTCTTCAGGGCATAGCTGAACCAATCTGTCACTAAAGTTAATTGTGCACACCCCCTGAATGCCAAGTTGAACACGTGAAGGAACCATCCTCCAGCTACCGCACCACCTCATTCAGACTTTGAGGGCCTCTTGTTTGTCTGAATAAACAAGCTTTACTTATTTGGGCAAACATTATTTGCTCAAAATCTTGAAGGAAGGAGAAAGAAATACAACTGAACAAAAGCAATCCACGATTTCAAGTGCAGGTATTCACCTATTTTATATTTACCATCAAGTTCAGCACTTGTTAAAGCATCACTACATCTCTGAGAACACAAATAGTCATGAATATTTCTTTGCTGACCAACCTTTTCTTTGGGCTGCGGTGCCACAGGAGGGTTAGCCAGTGGGAAAGCGATGCTGGGAGCCTGTGGGGTGGGGATCAAGTGATCCTTAATCGGTGTTTCAGGATCTCTACATACAGGAGGATTCTTTAGACCTTCCGACCAATCTCCATGGCCAGCCTCAGCAACACCTGTGAAAACAAAGTGGTGTATAACTTGTCTTTGGCTGAACATAATTATGGATAAAGTGAAAAATAAAGTATTTTAAAAAAAAAACCCACAAAAAATGTAGCTATTCTGAAAGGACACAAGACAACCACTGCTCTAAAATGTACAGTTAAATTTCACCATTGCCTTTCAGAAAGATGTTCTTCCTTGTACCACAAACCACCAGCTGCAATATCGCAAACTCACATTCCTGGACACCTTACTTTGAAAAAAACCCACAACCCTAAATGGCCTAATTTCTTTGGCTAAACTGTGCTGATTCGGTCAAACCAAAAATCAGCTGAATGCATTTAGCTGATTTTCTTCAGTCTCCTCTAGGAGAGGGCCAGGTTTTGGGCAGACTGTTGCCCTAGCAGCTCTGATGGAGACTGAGGGAAGGAGCTGGTGGTGGGGAGAGAAAAATAAAGGATTTTTCTACTTCTCAGGAGGCAGAAATGGGAAGAAAGCAAGAACAAATGAAAGGCCACAAGTATGTTGCTTCGTTAACTCCTAGCAGTAGACAGAAGACTTCAAAAAGACCTGGGAAGATAAAGACAGATAAACTCAGTGTCTTCACTGAGCCCTGACCTAACCACATCCACTGGCAGCTCTGACACATCTGGTTTTCAGGCTCACAGGTTATCTTCTTCCTGCATCGCCATTCTTCATCTATGAATATTTCCACTACAATTACAAAGATTTTTTTTCTACTGGTATTTGAATTTGACTATACCTATCTGAAGTGTACTTGGAAACCAGCTGCAGCTCCAAAACCAGAACTTTCAAAGACTTCCTGAAGCCAATGCAAATTATTTTTAAGCCCAGCACCGCCTTGGTGTTTAACCACAAATGGCAAACAGATAGGAAGACTTCTCGTTAAAAAAAATAGCAACACATAATGGAACTCTGTCTTGGGTTACAATATGTAACCAAAA